CACCAGACATGGAACTCAATGTTACCAGAACTGTTGGCAAACAACTAGGAGGCAATGACCACCGGCCAGTCTTTCTAGCTGTAGAAAGCCAGTCTGTAAGAGACAGCAGCACTTTGCCAAGTAGGAATCAAATGAAGGCAGACTGGAAGTTGTATCAGAACTGCACAAATGTTATGCTTAAAAACTGAACAGATAACGATGTAAAAAAAATAATCAAAATGTTCCGCAAATGTATACTGCAGGCAGCCTTAAAAACAATACCAAGAGGTGAGCATAAACAATATAAACAACCATACTGGAATTGTGATCTAGAAAGAACAGCTGCACGATGATATGGAAACAGAAAGAAAGCTGAAATCAGACTTTTTCAAGGCTTGTGAATTTGTTTATGGTCTCTGGCCAGCTTGGTAGACCAATGCAATTATAGTTGGAGCCTTCTTGACTGACATATATTTAGTGATAAAACTGTACCCCAGGGAGGAGCTTGGACATTTCTTGAATGAGAGTGGTTTTGGGTGGAGGAAAGGAGGAGCTTAGGAGAAGTTATAATAGTAAGGACAGTCAGGCTGGGAAACTAAGACTCTTGCTAGCGTCCCTACTGTCTAAGCCTTGAGACAGAACCTTGTGGCCTGGCCTACTGTCTGAGCCTTGAGACAGAACCTTGTGGCCTGGCCTACTGTCTGAGCCTTGAGACAGAACCTTGTGGCCTGGCCTACTGTCTGAGCCTTGAGACAGAACCTTGTGGCCTGGCCTACTGTCTGAGCCTTGAGACAGAACCTTGTGGCCTGGCCTACTGTCTGAGCCTTGAGACAGAACCTTGTGGCCTGGCCTACTGTCTCAGCCTTGAGACAGAACCTTGTGGCCTGGCCTACTGTCTAAGCCTTGAGACAGAACCTTGTGGCCTGGCCTACTGTCTAAGCCTTGAGACAGAACCTTGTGGCCTGGCCTACTGTCTGAGCCTTGAGACAGAACCTTGTGGCCTGGCCTACTGTCTGAGCCTTGAGACAGAACCTTGTGGCCTGTAAGAATGGAGGGAGACCTCGAAGGGCAGAATGTTAGACGGGCCTGCGTGCCCAATTCTTAACCCTTTAAAAATAAAGTTTGTTCGTTCGTTCGTTCGTTCGTTCTGATTTTCCAGGTAAGTTTTTTTTTTTTTTATCGATCACCGGCTGTGAATTCCAGTGGAAGGTCCTGGTTAATCGTCCGCTTGGACTTTTGGCTTTCACCTGGACCTGATTTTTGCGTGTACAACCGTTTTTCATTTCCCTGCCTCATGGGCAGCTGTACTCCGACTTCGAAGGAAGACGTCAGGCCTATTTCTAGGTTGACTGTGCCCATTGTTTTGTGTGGGTCGAGACGTTGCCTGATTTGTGTGGTGTCCATTTTGTCTCCTCCGCAGGTGTTGCCCTCGGAGTACCCCTTTGGGGCAGCCCCCTGTGGAACAGTTAGCCCTCAAGGGAAGGCAGGGGCAGATCATGGGCATTCCCCGCCATCCAAGGAGGCTTCCATGCATGCAGAGCCGGCACATGGCGCTCTGGTTCTGGGCTCACCCAGGGAATCGTCACGTCCTGCACATGCCTGCTTAACCTCACAACCGTATAAGGCCTCCCGCTCGACAGGGGCTGCGCCCTCTGGAAGTCAGCAGGGAGCAGCCCGTGGGTTTTGGACTTTTGTGACCACACAGATAGGTACATTCTTTTTTCTTCGCACGTTAGATTTCTTTGACGAGCCGTTAGCCCGACAGAATTTTACATCCTGCATCAGGCATATCGTTATCAGTTTTGTCCCAACACTCGGGCGAGTGGGGTCTTTGGGTGTGGACATTCGGTCTTTTTCAGTTCAATACAAATTTTGATGGTCAGATTTTGATCCGTATGATCTAGTTTTGTCGGACAATTAGGATGGTTGCTGTTGTGGTGTACCTCAGCGCGGTGTCGACGACACTGAGGGTTAACCGAGAATGTACATGAATGGCCAGCCTATGGATGGTTGCTGTTGTGGTGTACCTCAGCGCGGTGACGACGACACTGTGGGTTAACCGAGGATGTGCAGTGAACAATGTTCTCTTTACTCCGCAGTCTTTTAACCAAGGGTGGTAATTTTGGCTGTACGTTTGGCAAACCTACTCATGTTCCTAATGAGTTTTGATAACATTTTTCACCCAAGCGTTTGGGGGCGGGCTGATGAGAGCCACAAGGACACATCACCTCTGGGGGCCGCCGAACTCCGAGATCCCCTGACAGCTCTGTTAATGCTCATTTGAGACATTATCCGTGGCGCACGACGAGGACGTGCTGTAGGGGTCTTGCGTGAGGTTCCGTACAACCAGGATAGTTAAGGACTGGCGCCCGAGTGACATACGGAGTATCTCCTTATACACATCATGTTGGACTTAACTTCCCCTCACGCCTGTGACATAAATCACCGCGCCACTTCCAGGTAAGTGAAATTATTTTCAGTTTGTATTTCCTGACAGGAATCTCAGTTGTCCTACTGCTCAAGTGTGTGCATTTATTACAATATAGTTTTTTTTGGCGGATATTTCTCCACTCCAGTAGTGGGTTGTCAAATGACTATATCTTAACTGATGTTGTCATGTATGTTTTCAATGTACATGTATTTCAATGTTGTATAACTTGAATATTGAGGTTAACACTGAAATTTAATGAACTATCATTTTTATGAAATCACAAGTGTGAAGATGTTTGGCAGTGTCTTCATGTGTGATTATTTTGATAATTTATCTTACATCCAGCTTATTAGATGAAATGTTTTTAACTCATGGTAGGCCAATGCTGGAGATTGACCCAGAAAGTAAAACCCTGAGATTTTATACTTGATGTCACCCCAGAAAAATTGTTATCATTCTAGGTGTGCACATTATTTCAGGCATTAATTCCAGAACTTGTTCTGCCACATTGAATGTCCCTTTGGAGTGCATGAGAGACCACATCAGACTTAGAGGACCTAACAATCATTACAGGACACGAGTAGAGGAAGGCAGGAAATGTAACAACTACAATGTGAGACCAAGTCCCTCCAGACTAGATGGAAGAGAGTGTGTATATGTAGAGGGGAGATGTATTTTTCTATATAAATATGCTTACTATATTTAAGAAACCTGAGCTTACACATCTGTATTTTTTCTTTATCACAGTTCCCACATGGGGCAGGGACAAGTCGGCATCTATTCTTTGCAGACAGTCTGCGTGTAATGACCTGCTTAAAGCAGTGTGGACGACAAGCTCAGAAAGTTGCAATCATCGTAACACCACTACTAGCATTTGCCTGTAATAAACTCAATGACTGACTCATTATCATCATAGAGCTATTATCTTTTTGATTTGCAAGATCGATTTCATTCAAGTAATTTTGTTTAGACTATTAATAAAATCTTGTTCAAATTATAAAATAGGAAAGTAAATTGTGTACATAGGTTCAAATGTATTGGTTATCCAGGATCAATATAGCTCAGATATTAGTCCAGTTTCTCAGGTTGGTGTGCAGTGTCAGGATTCAAACCCACACACTTCCTACAAAAGTGTATATCCCATGGGGATAGTGACAAATCCCATGCTATAGTTGTGAAAGACGTTTCTTAACGTGGGCGGGTCTTGCTAGTCACACTCACTATCGCCATGGGCTGTGAGTCCCATGCCTTCTCATAGCACAATATAACACTATCGTCTGGAGTCACAGAAAGGTGCCAATCAATCATTCTGCTAAATGTTGTCAGACTAAACAAGAGCTCAACCATTTCCTGAACTAATTAGTGGTCCTCAATGTAAACAGAACCAACCACAGGGGCTGGGGATACATACAGGAAGGTGAAGAGGCCATGTATGTGCAGCTAGCACCATAAAGATGTGTATATTTGTGGCAAATCTGGAGAAGAGGCTGGCACCATGAAGTGTATGTCATGCCCATAGATGATCAAACATACATGACAGGACAGCTAGACCTGTGACCTATGAGACATGGAGGGAGCAAAATAAGATTTAAATGAGATTAAACTACAAATAGTAACGGTGTTTCTCCATTTTGCACATACCAAAAATCAGTTAAAAAATAGACCTGATTTTATGTTGATGCAAGTGTCCCCCATCTGGCACTGTCTTAGAACTGTCCACAAATCAGCCACTATAAACTTGAGTGTTTGTTGATGCAAGTGTCCCCTAGTTAGCACTGTCCACAAATCAGCCACTATAAACTTGAGTGTTTGTTGATGCAAGTGTCCCCCAGTTAGCACTGTCCACAAATCAGCCACTGTAGACTTGAGTGTTTATTGATGCAAGTGTCCCCCAGTTAGCACTGCCCATAAATCAGCCACTGTAGACTTGAGTGTTTATTGATGCAAGTGTCCCCCAGTTAGCACTGCCCATAAATCAGCCACTGTAGACTTGAGTGTTTATTGATGCAAGTGTCCCCCAGTTAGCACTGCCCACAAATCAGCCACTGTAGACTTGAGTGTTTATTGATGCAAGTGTCCCCCAGTTAGCACTGCCCATAAATCAGCCACTGTAGACTTGAGTGTTTATTGATGCAAGTGTCCCCCAGTTAGCACTGCCCATAAATCAGCCACTGTAGACTTGAGTGTTTATTGATGCAAGTGTCCCCCAGTTAGCACTGCCCATAAATCAGCCACTATAAACTTCAGTGTTTATTGATGCAAGTGTCCCCCATCTAGCACTGTCCACAAATCAGCCACTGTAGACTTGAGTGTTTATTGATGCAAGTGTCCCCCAGTTAGCACTGTCCAAAAATCAGCCATTGTAGACTTGAGTGTTTATTGATGCAAGTGTCCCCTAGTTAGCACTGTCCACAAATCAAACATTGTAGACTTGAGTGTGTTTTGATGCTAGTGCCCCCCCCCCCACCCCCACCACAAATCAGCAGTACCATTTTGAGTGTGAGTTAGTGTTAGTGTCCCCCATTCATCGCTCTACAGCAGTAACAACCTGACTGTGTATATGTACACACCAGTCGGAACTATTACTTACATCTGAAGTCCAGTTATGTATCTGAGCTGAGATAGAAGACTCAACAATCAAAAGTGGCACTGTTCTTTGACCTAAACCACCTTCCAATTTGAGTACAATCACTGGAGCATACACCAACAGCTGTAGGTGTTGAGAGTTTGCAAAAAAAAATTTGAGTACAATCACTGGGAGATGAAAGTTTATATAAGAAGTTTGAGTACAATCACTGGCAAATGATGAGAATATAAAAGAGACTTTGAGTACAATCACTGGCAGATGATGACAGTATTTATAAGAAATCTGAGCACAATCACTGGTAGATGTTGAGAGTTTAGATAAAAAATTAAAGTAGAATCACCAGCAGATGTTAAGAGTTTATGCGAGAAATCTGAGTACAATCAATGGTAGATGTTGAGAGTTTACATAAGAAATCTGAGTACAATCAATGGTAGATGTTGAGAGTTTACATAAGAAATTTGAGTACAATCACTGACAGATGTTGAGATTTTATATTAGAAATTTAAGTACAATCACTAGTAGATGTTAAGAGTTCATATACAAAATTTGAGTACAATCACCAACAGATGTTGAGAGTTTATATAAAAAATTTGAGTACAATTACCGATGGATGTTGAGAGTTTATATAAGAAATTTAAGTACAATCACTGACAGATGTTGAGAGTTTATATAAGAAATTTGAGTACAATCACTAGCAGATGTTGAGAGTTTATATACAAAATCTGAGTACAATCACCGGTAGATGTTGAGAGTTTACATAAGAAATTCGAGTACAATCACCAGCAGATGTTAAGATTTTATGTGAGAAATTTGAGTACAATCAATTGGAGATGTTAAAATGTTGAGAGTTTATATAAAAAATGTGAGCAAAATCACAGGGAGATGTTGAGAGTTTAAATAAAAATGTGAGTACAATCAGTGGGAGATGATGAGAATATGAAAGTGACATCGAGTACAATCACTGGCAGATGTTAAGAGAATAAATGAGAAACTTGAGTACAATCATTGACAGATGTTGAGAGTTTACATAAGAAATTTAAGTAGAATCACCAGCAGATGTTAAGAGTTTATGTGAGAAATCTGAGTACAGTCACTGGTAGATGTTGAGAGTTTACATAAGAAATTTAAGTACAATCACAAGCAGATGTTAAGAGTTTATATGAGAAAATTGAGTACAAACAATTGGAGATAATAAGACATATGAAAGAGACATCGAGTACAATCCCTGGAAGATGTTAACAGTTTACATAAGAAATTTTAGGACAATTACTTAGAAATATACCAGTAACTCAGATATTTACAGGTTATGTGACAAATTTAACTGTCATTGTGGCATACAATACTAACTGTAGAAGTTCACAGTTTATATGACCAATCTAAGTAAAATCACGTGGAAATAAATCAGTTGTTGTAGATGTTGACAGTTTATATACAAAATTTAAGCACAATCTCTGGACCAGATATGAGCAGCTGCAGATATTGACAGTTTATACAACAAACTAATAGATGTCAACACATTAACATCTTTCCCAAATATTTGCAGTGTTAAAATGTATACTTCTTTTGCTCTCTTCTGGTCTCTCTTTCCAGTGTAAGGATAAAAAACAAAAGTTTCTGAAATGAATCCTGTAATGTCTTACAGACCATGGGTTTTGTTGTGAGCCTCAGCTAAAATACTTGCCCAGCATTTGTTAACTAGCTCAGGATACAAAACATAAATAATAATTCTACAGCCAGACTGACCAAATTCCACTGAAAAGGGAAATGCTAAATCACTGTTAGTCACCAAAGGCACCAACCATTACACCATTACAGCCAGGTTTATAGAATAAGGAAAAAAAAATATGCAAGTCAGTTAAAATAGTTCAAACTTCACAGCAAAAGGGTCACCTCATAGTTGTTCCATCCTTTGCTATCAAAAACCAGACAGAATGTCGACTGCTGTCCCTTTTCATGCATGAACCCCATTACCAGAAATCATATTCAGTTGAAACACCAGGGAATCATGGGCAGAGAAGACAGCAATACTGAGGCACTGAGAGCTGCAGGTATTATTTGAGCACTCACTAAAACCATAGGGAGAAGACAAATAACATTTTTTGCGGGATATCAATAAAACCGGGAAAGGTGGGATAGTGCAGTAGCTAGCATACTTACCTGCCAGGTTATATGTTCACAACACAAATGGCCCCACAATCTATCAAGAAATATTATGGGAAGTAAAGGCAGCTGGCATAATACTTGTCACACCAGGTACGAGAACTGATTTTTCTTCTTCTTTTCTCTACATACCTCGCAGCATCAGGGCAGGAAGAGATGTTGAGAACTGATTAATCTTTAAAAACATGTAGCTAGCCCTATATGCCCAATATTACCAAAGGAAAGGAGGTCTGGTGTTTACTTCCAAAAAAAAAGAGGTAGGCCAGGGAAATGAGGTCCCTGCATACAAAGACATCCATAAGAACAGGTCACATTTCATAAGGTTCTAGAAAGACTGGGAATGAAAAGAGAATGGCTAAATGAAATAAAACATTGAGAAAAGTTTGGTGCATGCTGACTGAAGGTCTCTACTCCCTTGGGAAATGAACAGCAGATGCAGAAGAAGAAAAGAACAGGCAGAACTTTTCCTGTAGCAGGTTCTTCAGTAGAATTATAGTTTTCACTTGACATGATTCAAAGAGCTTTTTCACTGCACTCTGAAACTATCCAACAATGCCAGATCACTTATCATAAAATGATAATTTTAACTCCCAGCGTGTAGTGCCAGTGAGGATTCTAGTGTGTGCCTACCAAAATATACAGACTAGAAATATTTTGCTACTGATAATTTTTCTAACTCAGAAATATTGCCAGTTGATGTAACAACTGTCTGAGAGGAACTCTAGATATAAGAAATACTTACATTCAGATACCTGGGTAACATTTCTTTAATTTGATTTCCATAGTAGCGAACTTTTCTCTGTAGAAACTTCTCTTTAACATAGAGGATAGTGATTGTTTGCTGCAAGGAAGACAACAACATACCAATATTACTTCACCATGACAATGCTGGGATGTATACAACAACATACCAATATTACTTCACCATGACAATGCTGGGATGTACACAACAACAGACTAATATTACTTCACCATGACAATGCTGGGATGTACACAACAACAGACCAATATTACTTCACCATAACAATGCTGAGATGTACACAACAACTTATCAATATTACTTCACCAGGACAATGCTGGGATGTATAAAACAACATACCAATATTACTTCACCATGACAATGCCTGATGTATACAACAACAGACTAATATTACTTCACCATGACAATGCCTGGATGTATACAACAACATATCCATTTTTACTTCAATAATACAGTAGCTAAATGTTTGCCTGTCCTACCCAAAGGTCATAGATTCAAATTTACATAAAACTGTGTGAACATGTGATCTGATAAGTCAGTAGTTATGTGAGCATGTGATCTGATAAGTCAGTAGTTATATGAGTGAACATTTGATCTGATAAGTCAGTAGTTATGTGAGTGAGCATGTGATCTGATAAGTCAGTAGTTATGTGAGCATGTGATCTGATAAGTCAGTAGTTATGAGAGTGAGCATGTGATCTGATAAGTCAGTAGTTATGTGAGTGAGCATGTGATCTGATAAGTCAGTAGTTATGTGAGTGAGCATATGATGTGATAAGTCAGTAGTTATGCGAGTGACCATGTGATCTGATAAGTCAGTAGTTATGTGAGTGAGCATGTGATCTGATAAGTCAGTAGTTATGTGAGTGAGCATGTGATGTGATTATTTAGTAGTTATGTGGGTGAGAATGTGATGTTATAAGTCAGTAGTTATGTGAGTGAACATGTGATGTGATAAGTCAGTAGTTATGTGAGTGAACATTTGATGTGATAAGTCAGTAGTTATGTGAGTGAGCATGTGATGTGATAAGTCAGTAGTTATGTGAGTGAGCATGTGATGTGATAAGTCAGTAGTTATGTGGGTGAGCATGTGATCTGATTATTCAGTAGTTATGTGAGTGAGCATGTGATGTGATAAGTCAGTAGTTATGTGGGTGAGCATGTGATCTGATTATTCAGTAGTTATGTGAGTGAGCATGTGATGTGATAAGTCAGTAGTTATGTGGGTGAGCATGTGATGTGATAAGTCAGTAGTTATGTGAGTGAGCATTTGATGTGATAAGTTATGCGAATGACTAACAGAAAATGTTCACCCTTACGTTCTGTGAATTACATGTACCAGTTAAATAAAGATCAATTGGCAAGTCCCAAATACATATACAATTTGATCGTTTTTTTTTGGGTGAAATACATAAATCACATTGTCAAGTTAAACAGAAATTTTCTGCATTGTGCAATGTATTGTTTGTGTCAGCGTTATTTAAATTTACAGTCAGAAAGAAATGTTTGAATTCTACATTAATTTTTTTGCCATTGTTTCCTCAACATTTAAAGGCTCATTTTACTGTTAATCAACAAAAAGTGGTCTGCTGTCAAATGACCTGCAACTGAACTGAACCTAATATTACAGAATTATGAAACTACATTCATAACCCCTCAGCCACAGACCTGGAGATAACAAGTAGACATAACAAGTAAATATAACAAGCAAACATAAAGACTATCCTCCTTCAACGACCACAGCAAAGCCATTATGTATGATTTGTTTCCACATGTTTCAGTCATACTAGCATTTTGGTCCCTACCAGAGTGTTTCCGGTTTATTTTGTAATACCATCCTATATACAGACTGGATCACAGGTTAGCGTGTACTCAGAGAGGTGTCTCATTAGAACTATATAGTACAGTTTAAGAGGGTTTCTGGGAGTTGATCCTGTGTGATTCTCATTCTTGAGGTGTTCATTCTACAAACATGTTTTCTGGAGGGAAACAATGACAACCATCCTGTTCATTGTTTCCACATCAGTGCAGTGTTGACCATCTCAGAATTGTTCATGTAAGTATTTCATTGCACAACCCTTTTGATCTTGAAGACATGATTATACAATCAGAGTTCAGATGTTCTCACAGTTTGGGTTTAGGAGAGCAATCCTATATGACTGTACACTGAGACTCTTTAGTTCCCCACATTTTAAGCAAACACTTCAGGTAAAAAAGGGACCATAAGCATACGTCTTTTAAAGAGACTAAATATAGTGAAACTATAAATGCGGAGCCAGGTTGTTAAGCCTGTTCTTATGCAGAAGCTAAGCTGTTAGGCTTGTTTTTATGCAGAAGCCAGGTTGTTAAGCCTGTTCTTATGCAGAAGCCAGGTTGTTAAGCCTGTTCTTATGCAGAAGCCAGGTTGTTAAGCCTGTTCTTAACTCTTTCATTCCCAAGCAGTGGTTACTGAAAATTAGTCTGTAGTAAAGATCTGGGCTTGAATGAAAAAAATACTCAAGTCTGAGTTTAGCAGAGATACTATGGGATATAAGTAGTTAAACTAATAATTTATATACAACAAGTTAATATAACATCAGTCTGTGAGAGAGGACAACAAAAACATATTATCTAATACAGAAAATTATCTCTGAATAGCGAAGAAACATACAGTGAGCTATATGGTACCAAAGGCTTAACCAAATGTTGAAATAACGAGAATATATAAAGTGACATCTAGAATACATGAGAACAGGTGATGGTGGTGACACAACCTTTCATGTGGCTGGAATCACAGGGCTGTTCCTACATGTGTACTCAGTGATTCAATGAGCATTATCCATAGGATGAGAGGCAGGTTCAGTATGCAGACAGTGGACTGAGTCATTGGAAAACTCCACTGTAAGTGAAGTTATCTTCATCATTGTCTTAGGGCATGTGGGTGTTGTCAGTGAAGGAGTTGATGGATTGGCAGACTCTGCATTTGTCGCAGATGTTGTTAATGCACTTAGAGAGATAGGATGTTTGGAGGATTTAGGGGGAAGCATGTCCACACTGATGCTAAGAATGCAAGAACTGGGAGTAAAGATCTTGTCTTCCAGTACTGGATGAGACTGTAAACTGCAGAATGCTGATGTTTATGCTGAAGGGGGAATCTGAGCACCCATGGACGTGTCAGGAGTGCCTGAAGAAAAACCAGCTCGTAACTTATAACACAGAGGAAGACATCATGTGCTATCTGGAGCTGACAGTGTTGAGCAACAATGTAGACTTTCTGTAAGCCTGTTAGAGTCAGTCAGCAAATCTTTAACAGTATTCTGTGAGTTCACCAGCTATTCAGTCCAGCGGAAAGGTCTGTCACTTCTGGACCTAATCTTCCATTTTGTGTGCACATCCCTGTAATATATTAGGCTTATTTGTATGCAGGCTGTCAGTTCCTTGTCTCTCAGGCAGATACACTATGACTTCAATGGAAACACCCCTAATTAGTAACCTTCTACTATGTTTATTGTTGGGAAGTGGGGTGGGGGGGGGGCGAGGGGGTGGGCTGGGGTAGGGACAGAGGCTATATTCTTCTTTCCATAAAAATGAGGCCTAAGAACCAGTGGCGTAGCTAGGGTATGCCAGGTAGGGCAGACGCCCTGGGTGCTGCTTAATAAAAAGGGGTGGGGGCAAAATAATCATTTTTTTTTTTCAGTGGCAGGGTCTCTTCTTGAGGGCCCCTACTAACACGTTTCATTTTGTTGAAGAAGGTCTAAACAAATATAAACATTCATCACTGATCAGCACAGCCTGCATTTTTCTTTTCTTTTAAATGTGTTCCATAATCTGGCCAGATAAAGTCATAATTACTGTAACAGTACATCTTTATTCTTTTAATCCCAAGAAATGTAACATGAGTTCATTGGCAACGACTTCCCAGTTTTGCACTATAATGTCTTTAAAAGTAGCCCCGAAACTACTGAGCAACGGCTAATGCACATGTTGAAAATTTTTTTTAAACCCCCCCCCCAGTTGCCAAATACCATAGCTACACCCCTGCCCAGAACCCCCAAGGGGAAGGGGAATCACTAATAGTCAGGTGAATGGTCGTCCATAGTGGCCACAATCAATCCCAAGATTAGGGCAACCCGTAACCATACTTGTCCCAGCACATATCTATTTGGACTCACAAAAGCTGATTTCATCATAACATCAACTGTGCACTTTGGACAGGTATTTACAACTGCAAAACTCAACAAGAGAAAAGTTACGAAATTACCGCATCGGTCATTGATGGAGAAGCAGTCAGGTCATAAACGGATGGTCTTTGTTCAGTGATGGTTGTTGCTTCTGCTTCAACAACTGAATGATGGACAGGTTGACATGTTTTGATTGGCACTCATAGAAAGAAGAGGAGTGAAAGGGACCTCAGTGGCCCAGTTTTCAAGCCATTTGGCTCATGCTCTGAAGGCTGTGGGCTCATTTCATGGATGTATCATCCTGTTCACAGGTAAAATTTTCAAAAACCAGCCCTGGGGATTATCACTTGAGCCATGGAATTAGTGCTGTGTGTAGTGCTCTTGGCAAGAGCCAATCTGCACAAAGGGTGAGACTAAGCCACATATAAAAATCTGGTGCAATCAAGGTGATCCTCTCAACTTTGAACTTGATATATACAAGGGGGCACAAAAGACACATGGTAGGAGACAAAATACGTATGGTAATAATTTTAGACTGGCATCATTCAAGAGTTAGGAACCAAAATCACAAAATTTGGGACATTCCCCCAGGCAATCTGTACTCATCTTCAGCAGCCAGAACACAGTAAAAAAACCAGCTGTGCCAGTTGCAGATTGATTAAGTTTGACTTGCTTTCCTTTAACTCTTTCAGTCCCAAAGAACACATCATACGTTCATACATTCCTACCTAGAAGCCCAATAAATGCAAGATACGCTGATTTTACATCTCTTTTGACTACTTCTTGGGCTTGTGATGCTAAACCCCCTGGGACTCAGTTAAGCACTGAATTTATGTCATATCCACTGATCAGTCATTTTTTCAATCCTTCTACATTCACTCAATACACATATTCTTTTTCCAGTGGAACCACATTTGGTGCCCTTATAGTGTCATCTCTTGCTTCTCCTGTTCCCACATGTAAACATAGTATCTTTTTTTGTTTGACCTTATCTCATGTGTGAGAACGTAATATAGTAACAAAAATAGACGTGCCTGCAGTCTCATCTCTTACTTCTCCTGATCTCACGCTCATATGTGAATGTGCATGTACCACAATGAATGCACATGCAGTCTCATCTCTTACTTCCCCTGATCTCACGCTTATGTGTGAATGTCCACGTACCACAATAGATAAATTTGCAGCCTCGAATATTACTTCTCCTGATCTCACACTTATCTGTGAATCTGGCCTGGTATCATAACAGATGCATATGCAGTCTCATCTCCTACTTCTCCTGATCTCACACTTATGTGTGATGCGGCATGGTACCACAAAGTATGCATTTATCGTCACAAACTCATGCTGCTCTTATTCTGATGCTTATATGTGAAAATATCTTAGTCAGAGGGTCAGAGATTTGCCAACAAGAATAAATGATGTTGGTGGTGCAAACTTGGTTACTGGTCACACCTAAAAGTTTCTACCTGGACATCTACAATCTTGTCCATCAGTGAACTACATGTGTTGTAAGGCAGAAAGACTTTGTTGAGAACACAGCACAATTTTGTTCCCGCCGCTTGTGAAAAAAAAACTGTATTAATGCAATTAAATTTACTGACTGACTTCCCCTAGTACCGTATCTTGTTGATCCTCAATATATACTGATTGTTCATATCACCAGTCTAGGATTGGTTGTTGTCTCAACACTGCTTACCTCAAACTATTTCCTGGAAAATGTGAGCTGTGGTAGTTAAGTGGATAGCATGCTGTCTTCTGAGCTGGTAGTCATGTGGAAAAATCAAACTTTCTCTCCTTCACTTCTTCTAATACTATTTCAGGAGCAGAATAGGATACAAGGTCCTGGTTCTCAGTCTTCTGCAGCCCCAAATCATAGATAGTTGATAGTTTCTCTAATGTCACCTTTCCACATTGTTCTTACTGACAGAGTGAACCCTTTACCTGACAGAGCTAACCATTTACCTGACAGAGTGAACCATTTACCTGACAGAGTGAACCATTTACCTGACTGAGTGAACCCTTTACCTGACAGAGCTAACCATTTACCTGACAGAGTGAACCATTTACCCGACAGAGTGAACCACCTACCCAACAGAGTGAACTATTTACCTGACAGAGTGAACCATTTACCCGACAGAGCGAACCATTTACCTGACAGAGTGAACTATTTACCCGACAGAGTGAACCATTTATCTGACAGAGTAAACTATTTACCCGACAGAGTGAACCATTTACCCAACAGAGTGAACAATTTACCCGACAGAGTGAACCATTTACCCGACAGAGCGAACCATTTACCTGACAGACTGAACCATTTACCTGACAGACTGAACCATTTACCCAACAGAGTGAACCATTTACCTGACAGAGTGAACCATTTACCTGACAGAGTGAACCATTTACCCGACAAAGTGAACCGTTTACCCGACAGAGTGAACTATTTACCCGACAGAGTGAACCATTTACTTGACAAAGTGAACCACTTACCCGAAAGAGCTAACCATTTACCTGACGGTGAACCATTTACCCGACAGAGTGAACCATTTACCCGACAGAGTGAACCATTTACCCAACAGAGTGAACCACCTACCCAACAGAGTGAACAATTTACCCGACAGAGTGAACCATTTACCCAACAGAGCGAACCATTTACCTGACAGACTGAACCATTTACCCGACAGAGTGAACCATTTACCTGACAGATTGAACCATTTACCTGACAGAGTGAACCATTTACCTGACAGAGTGAACCATTTACCCGACAGAGTGAACCATTTACCCGACAGAGTGAACCATTTACCTGACAGAGTGAACCATTTACCCGACAGAGTGAACCATTTAGCCGACAGAGTGAACCATTTACCTGACAGAGTGAACCATTTACCCGACAGAGTGAACCATTTACCCGACAGAGTGAACCATTTACTTGACAAAGTGAACCACTTACCCGAAAGAGCTAACCATTTACCTGACAGTGAACTATTTACCCGACAGAGTGAACCATTTACCCGACAGAGTGAACCATTTACCTGATAGAGTGAACCATTTACCTGACAGATTGAACCATTTACCTGACAGAGTGAACCATTTACCTAACAGAGTGAACCACCTACCTGACAGAGTAAACCATTTACCTGACTGAGTGAATAATTTACCTGACTGAGTGAACAATTTACCTGACACAGTGAACCATTTACCTGACAGAGTGAACAATTTACCCGACAGACTGAACCAGCTACCTGACAGATGAACCATTTACCTGACAGAGGGAACCATTTACCCGACAGAGTGAACCATTTACCTGACAAAGTGAACCATTTACCCGACAGAGTGAACCATTTACCTGACAAAGTGAACCATTTACCTGACAGAGTGAACCATTTACTTGACACAGTGAACCATTTACTTGACAGAGTTAACCATTTACCCAACAGAGTGAACCATTTACCTGACAGAGTGAACCATTTACCTGACAGACTGAACCATTTACCCGACAAAGTGAACCATTTACCCGACAGACTGAACCATTTACCCGACAGACTGAACCATTTACCCGACAGACTGAACCATTTACCTGACAGACTGAACCATTTACCCGACAGAGTGAACCATTTACCTGACAGACTGAACCATTTACCCGACAGAGTGAACCATTTACCTGACAGAGAGAATCACCTACTTGACTGAGTGAACCATTTACCTGACTGAGTGAACCATTTACCTGACAGACTGAACCATTTACCTGACTGAGTGAACCATTTACCTGACAAAGAGAACCACCTACCTGACTGAGTGAACCATTTACCTGACTGAGTGAACCATTTACCTGACAAAGAGAACCACCTACCTGACAGAGTGAACCATTTACCTGACAGACTGATCCATTTACCTAACACAGTGAACCATTTACCTGACTGTGGGAAGCTTTTATTTGACAGAGTGAACCATTTACCTGACAAAGAGAATCACCTACCTGACTGAGTGAACCATTTACCTGACAGAGTGAACCACCTACCTGACAGAGAGAATCACCTACCTGACTGAGTGAACCAGTAGTTGCAGTCATTCAAGTCTTTCTTGTCCCAGATGCGAGAGTAATCTTTTTGTTTCTTTTCGGCTGCTTCTGCTTCCTGGTGACACAGAAACAGTCTCAATAAATGTATACAGGCATCCTAAGTTAGAGACAGCTACATGGAAAACAATATGGGTGTGAGGTAGTGTTAGCTTTCTTACAAATTCTAGGCCACCACAAAGTGAAGGAGGTGGTTAGTCCAACAAGGTATAAACACTAGTCACATGTGACAGCAAAAATCCAACTTCTGGTGGTTGAACTGTTAAGTTTTACAGAAGAAGAAACAATCCTTGCATACAATGCTGTAAAACCAGAAACTCTCAAAATATGTATACTTACAACTATGTAACTTGATGAAAACCATAATCAGTATTAGCAAGATCAAGTTCTGCTGTAAAACCAGAATGTCTGAAATATGTATTCTCAGCATCTGTGGCTTAGGCATTGTGAATGTGCTTCATAAAGACAGGGTGCTGGGAACACTTCCTGCTGTGGAAGATTCCTCTTGTGAATGTGCTTCACAGAGACAGGGTGCTGGGAACACTTCCTGCTGTGGAAGATTCCTCTTGTGAATGTGCTTCACAGAGACAGGGTGCTGGGAACACTTCCTGCTGTGGAAGATTCCTCTTGTGAATGTGCTTCACAGAGACAGGGTGCTGGGAACACTTCCTGCTGTGGAAGATTCCTCTTGTGAATGTGCTTCACAGAGACAGGGTGCTGGGAACACTTCCTGCTGTGGAAGATTCCTCTTGTGAATGTGCTTCATAAAGACAGGGTGCTGGGAACACTTCCTGCTGTGGAAGATTCCTCTTGTGAATGTGCTTCACAGAGACAGGGTGCTGGGAACACTTCCTGCTGTGGAAGATTCCTCTTGTGAATGTGCTTCATAAAGACAGGGTGCTGGGAACACTTCCTGCTGTGGAAGATTCCTCTTGTGTTGATTTCCACAGGGTGCTGGGAACACTTCCTGCTGTGGAAGATTCCTCTTGTGTTGATTTCCACAGGGTGCTGGGAACACTTCCTGCTGTGGAAGATTCCTCTTGTGTTGATTTCCACAGGGTGCTGGGAACACTTCCTGCTGTGGAAGATTCCTCTTGTGTTGATTTCCACAGGGTGCTGGGAACACTTCCTGCTGTGGAAGATTCCTCTTGTGTTGATTTCCACAGGGTGCTGGGAACACTTCCTGCTGTGGAAGATTCCTCTTGTGTTGATTTCCACAGGGTGCTGGGAACACTTCCTGCTGTGGAAGATTCCTCTTGTGTTGATTTCCACAGGGTGCTGGGAACACTTCCTGCTGTGGAAGATTCCTCTTGTGTTGATTTCCACAGGGGTACCAAGACCTGACCGCTCAGAAGCGATGGCAAACTACTGAACAAAATGTGCCTAGAAAAACCACAACAGCCAAAAAATGCTGATGTTAGTTCTGCAATGTCCTGTAATGGATAGGCAACTAACTAACACTGTATAACTCGATGCAGGTCATAACCAACACTAGCACAATAAAGTGCTCAAGTCTGAATCAACCAGTCAGCAGACACACAACAACAATCAAGTTGCTGTATGCAACAGACAGGCAGCCAGCCAGCCAACCCCTGCCAGTCAGCCAGTCTGCACACAAAAACCCAACAAAATTATGCCTGTATTTACAAAAAATCTATTTCAAGCGAACAAAAGAAAAAGAATGCTGACCAGTTTACCTTAATGCACTGTCCAGCATACCAGGAAAAATCCTGGGAAGTAAAGGTGGCTGGCATGATGCTGACCACATCACCCATCAAGGGCTGATTGGTCTATAACAATCTGAGTTTAGAATCATATGATACCACTGATGTGAAAGAAAGGCTCTTTACCTACTGTAAAGCCTGCACAAGAGACTGATATGTTTCTGTGTTTCATACTGAGAGAATGTCAAAGACAGAGAGGTAAAAACTGTTTAAACAAGGGATCTGAATGGTCACAGACCATGAGGCAGACCAAGAAGACGTTTGAGAGTTGTGAAGGTGATGAATTGAGAAAATCTGATACACAACTACATTGTCCTTGCAGCTCAACTCTCAGGTCAACTCACGGATGAAAAATACAAGGAAGACATGTGTTGAACATCAGACAAATGGCAAATGATAGGATAACCTGATGCAAGTCAGCTGGCATCCTATGATCCAATGAGGAAACAGGCAGAAGAAGAAGATTAGATTATGTATGCCAGAAGATATCTGACTGTTTCTGTGAAATAAAAACTTACAGGAGTAACATTCATGCTGGCAGCTATAGCAGTCAGTAGGCGGACTGTTGAAGGTGTGACAGACAACATGAAGTCTGTCATGACAACATCCACGTGATGATCTTTGTTCTGTGGCCCACTTCCTATAATGGTGACATCCAATGGAGTCAACACCTGGTGAGCAGTATACTTTCATTAGTTAATATATATAACAGCTAATTATTTCTGTTAAAAAGTGGGATAACATTAATGTGTAAATATTTATTGACCACAGGTAGGGGTTCATGGTCAATCCAAATTACCTAAATTTAAACACAGTGATGGATAATTTGATGCAATAATGAAAGGGCAGTAGAACACATCGTTGTTAATAATATTAGATGTGATGAAACACTTCAGTGATTTCAGCATTTAGTATGTTTAATAACTACTTTGCTCAATAAAGAAACTAAGAACAAAATAGACTATGCACTGGGCCTCAAATACAAAACCATGTGTTATTTAATATTTTTTCCAGTTCAGCCACAAGGAATGATAATTGTAGTTGGAAGGACATTTAAGAGGTAGAGCTTAAAGGTTCTTCTGAAGGAAAGAGTTTGATACAGATGAGGGGAGCAGCTAACTCTGGGAAAGTTTAATACAGCGAGGTGTCTAGAATTCACTTCAGACTGCTGCCAGCACAAGGACTGAGAGCCACACTTAGAAAGTTTTGCCAGCTGTAGGAGTCTTTTTGGCAAATTGCTAGAATGTTTCCAGGTATGATTAAATATTATTTTCATTCTTTTTTTTTTTTTTTACCTGTTAAGAGTTTAGCTATTCTACTCTTCCTTTTCTGAATTATCTAAATACACCTTCTGCCTGAAATAGTCTTTGTGAGTATTCTCTGTTAGGAAGCTGGTAAACCATTTATGTTTCTTGAATGTTTGTATTACATGTTTTTCACTGTATGTTTTCATGTTTATAAAATAAGACTTTAATACTGATATTTATCATAATGAAATCACAATGTTTCAAACATTCACAAAACCATGTGCCTTGTTTGTGAGGATATGATGCCCACATGTACAGCCATGTGGTGATGGTTTTAATAACCCACCATGTACTCACTGAAATGTGTTTACCTACTGAGTGAATTGACCACCCAGGGAAAAACCATGAGAGTATATAATTAACTGTCTCTGGAAATATAATATTCAGGACAGCCAGCACAGATATAGTTTTGGGTTTTCAGCACACAACCTTGTACCACAAACGTCCATGTCAAACCATGTCAGCCAATTTCGAAGTCTGAGTGAGGATGGATAACAGACTTATAGGACTTCACCTATCTTGACAGGACGTGAGAAGGAAGGCAGGCTATGTGGACATCAGTGTGAGACATAAGACCTTCAGACTAGACTGGAAAGAATGTAAATATGAAGAGGAAGGGTGAAATATGTTTTATTTGACTATGTTACTGTGTGGAATCTAGACTCTACACACGTGCACTTGTTTCTTCTTTTGCAGTTCCCACTAGGGCAAGGACCAGTCAGCACCTATCAGTAGCAGATGGTCTAAGTGTACAACCTGCTTGAAGCAGTGAGAACGACAAGTTAGGCAGTTTCATCCTGAGATCTATCCCAGGTTTACTGTTCATGAGAACACAGTAAGGCCATTCTAACTATACTATCATATGCACTTACTGAACTCACTGACTGACTCATTACAATCACTGAGCTGTTATCTTTTATCATTGCAAGATCACTATCATACTTTTATTTTTCGTTGGATTGATTCAATGAAATGATGTTCAAGGTTGGTAACTCATAATTTGTTAACTATTAATCATAGTTCCAAATTATTATGTTCGTAATTTGTGTAATTTAACACCTTAGTCTGAAAGGGTTAAACAATCACTATTACTCTTGGTGGGGGAATTCGTTATAAATTAAAACAAGGAGAGGAAAAGGTGGGAGGGGTTAACTATGTACCTTGAGATTTTCTTATTGAATTCATCTTGATATCTAACTATCCATTTTCCTACTTTTGTGGATGCAAGTACAAGTACTGTAATTTTCTTGTATGAGCCACTTGTGCTGGTTTCTTGGTTATCTAGGACTTTGTCTGGTATCAACATAGCTCAGATATTAGTCCAGTTTCTCAGGTAGGTGTGCAGTGTCAGGTTTCAAACCCACACACTCACTACATAACTGTATATCCAAGTAGAGTTGGCAACACTAGATTACAACAACAATGTACAGCACAAAGAACCACAAGACAGATCCTACTGTGAGACACCACAACAATGATACATGGCATGGTGAGCCACAATACAGATCTCAATGTGTGACACCACAACAATGTTACATGGCATGGTGAGCCACAATACAGATCTCAATGTGTGACACCACAACAATGTTACATGGCATGGTGAGCCACAATACAGATCTCAATGTGTGACACCACAACAATGTTACATGGCATGGTGAGCCACAATATAGATCTCAAAGGCCCTGCTATATTTAGGACCCCCGGCAAGGTGGGGCTTCAAAATAACTAAATATTGCATCCCACATGCGGACGACGCTTGTATTATCCACTTAGTGAGTACATCGTTGATGATATCTGCTCTGTCCATGATTCTTTCTGCTTGCGTTGGTGCAATGCTTGCCACTTGGCCGCTCTTTAATTAACTTTTACACTGGGGTAAACGAGTGTGTAGATTCACTTGGGGAGGCTAAATGCGATTTGTGAATGCTTTCTGCCAGTTAAGAGCCTATTGCCTACTATCTGTTGCGATCTTTTGAAGCATGTTCAAGGCTGATACAATTACTATGCCACTATCCTACCCGTATGTCAAATGCAACTATGAAAGCGGGTCTGGGAAACTGCAGCTCATAAGGTTCGGTCTCTTTGCACAAAGCACTAACTCTGTAACTCCAGCCACACTCATGAATCTCTGAAACACCTGCGCTCGCAAGCTGAAGGGCAGCGTCAGAAATTAAACCCAGAATTTTTAAACCATGAGACAAAGACCTCATCGCTTCTTTATTAATACTGATCCTGATACTATGGGTTCTAGGGCGCCAGTATATGGGATTGGGGAGTGGGGGTGAATAGACCCACCACCTCTCTAACAAGCATGTCTAACAATCGATCAGTATTGGTGTTTCTTTTTAGATATTTCTATTCAGCTTCATTTCCAACAAATGTATGGGGAAAGGATGTTGGTGATGCCTTCCTTCCCTTTCCCAATCGCAACAGTTGAAACTGTCAAATTATATGCAGCCAATAAATACAAACTGTTCTGCTGCCATCAGTTTGTGCTCTGAAAAATGTTAGGAGAGATAAAGGTGCAAATGACTTCTCATTCATTCACTGTCCTGCAGTGTCATTTTATGTCACATATGTTCGCAGTCCATTCCTCCACTTCATTCTAACCTGTGCTTTGATATAGATGGAATTCAATCCAGTACCTTTACCTTCTCTCATCAAAGCTCACCCTAAGATTTTTTTTGGGGGAAATTCTTGTTTCCTCAATCCCTCTTTTCCAATTTCATTGCCTGTCTAGCGATTCTCAGTTTCTTCCCAGAATACGTCCAGTATAGTGCCACCTTCTCTGTTATAACTGTTGCTGCTATTGATTGTCCAAACATTTCTCTTATGTTATCACTCCTCTTGAATTCATCCCATTTTATGTTCATTATTTGTTTCTAAATGCATTGAACTTTTGCTCCATGTCTTTACCATTTTACTGGGAATTTCAACCTGGTCTCCTGAGTAAATGCCCTGAATAGTAGCCATTTGGGCAAGAGCTCTTCTATCTTTGACATAGATACATGTAAATACATAAAGACTTTGCTGGGAAATAGCAACATATCTAGCTAGCATCTGAAACAAGAAGTTATGGGAAAATCAAGTGATCAGTGATATTATCCAATGAATAGTGATGCATTTGTTAGTGAATCAGTTAAGACAATTATATAGGTGATTATAGCCTTTGCATGGGTTGTACTGGTAGGGTTTCTAGGATCTCTTGTTGGCATGCATAAACTTTCTAACAAAGAAAGGAAAGATGACTTACAGGTCCGACAAATAAGTAACTTTCCAACAAAGAAAGGAAAGATGACTTACAGTGTCCGCCAATTAAGTAACTTTCCAACAAAGAAAGGAGAGATGACTTACAAGGTCCAACAAATAAGTAACTTTCCAACAAAGAAAGGAGAGATGACTTACAAGGTCCAACAAATAAGTAACTTTCCAACAAAGAAAGGAAAGATGACTTACAAGGTCCGACAAATAAGTAACTTTCCAACAAAGAAAGGAAAGATGACTTACAGGGTCCGACAATTAAGTAACTTTCCAACAAAGAAAGGAAAGATGACTTACAGGTCCGACAAATAAGTAACTTTCCAACAAAGAAAGGAAAGATGACTTACAGTGTCCGACAATTAAGTAACTTTCCAACAAAGAAAGGAGAGATGACTTACAAGGTCCAACAAATAAGTAACTTTCTAACAAAGAAAGGAAAGATGACTTGCAAGGTCCCACAAATAAGTAACTTTCCAACAAAGAAAGGAAAGATGACTTACAAGGTCCAACAAATAAGTAACTTTCCAACAAAGAAAGGAAAGATGACTTACAAGGTCCAACAATTAAGTAACTTTCCAACAAAGAAAGGAAAGATGACTTAAAAGGTCCGACAAATAAGTAACTTTCCAACAAAGAAAGGAGAGATGACTTACAAGGTCCAACAAATAAGTAACTTTCCAACAAAGAAAGGAGAGATGACTTACAAAGTCCGACAATCATGTAACTTTCCAACAAAGAAAGGAAAGATGACTTACAAGGTCCGACAATTAAGTAACTTTCCAACAAAGAAAAGAAAGATGACTTACAGGGTCTGACAATTAAGTAATCAGACTGATTCCATAACAATTAAAATAATCAACTGTTGAAGATAAAACCTGTGTCTGATTCAAAGTAAGGCCCATGTGCATTGATACAGCTAGTGGCACGATCTAACACTGGAACGACCTCTGTAGTTCTTCTATTGTTATGGCCCTTAAAGTCGATGTTACGCTCTTTAGATGTCATCAATATCATTAAGAAAGCATCCTTTCAATCGTAACTATAATTTTGGGAATAGAAAATAATCACAGGGAGACAAATCTGGGGATTAAGATGCAAGGCTGAGAACACACACTTATTTTTGGGCCAAAAATTCTTGTTTGAATGATGTCTCTTGGGTATTCAACCCATTGATGTTTTTGGTCATCAGACAACGGATGTGGTACAAACCAGCAAACTTTTTTCTTACCTAAATCTTGCACTTAAATGTTATGAATGGTCTCTCTATTAAAACCAGATTCATCTGCAATCATCTTCACAGTAAAACAATGATCTTCTTGTATCCATTTTCTGACTTTTGCAATGAGTTTATCATTACGATTAGAAATTTAACGTTCAGGTCTAGGTGCATTAGTAATCATTTCCATGCCACTTTTAAAACGTGAATACCACCTGAAAATTTGTGCATGAGATAAACAATAATCCCCATAAACTTGTTGCATCATTTCAACTGATTCAATGGCGCTTTTTCCGAGTTTTAAAAAGAATTTAATGTTAGCTTTTTGCTCCGTGATGATTACGTAACAATGCACCGCTGACCAAGTCAACAAAATGGCGGCTTGTTTGTTGTCTGCTTATCCAGCGGCTATAAAAAGTTGCCAGATCATAGATGAATGTTGCCTCTTTAGATTCCATGCTTTGCTTCATAGATGACATTTTTGTCTTGGCCATAATAAAATCAGTCTCATTACTTAATTGTCGGACCTTGTATGAATGAGGATATCAGAAGGAGAGTAAGCACAGAACCCATACTGAACTAATCAGTAGACAACAGATCAAATGGTTTAGCCATGTATCAAGACTGGCAACATAAGTACACCAAAGAGACCAATGTTATACAGATACAGTGGTAACAGAGTCAGAGGTTCAAACATCCAGAAGATGGACCATGGACATTTTGGAGACACAGAAAAGTACTATATACGGAGTGAACAGAAGGGCCCATACCAGAGATCTCTTCCTGACCAAACGCTGTGAGACATTCCAGGAGTAGAGGAAAGAAGAACTGTGATAAACTGGAAGCAAATAAAGAACTTACAAGTTATAATAAAACTCTGTACAACAGTGAATCAGGACTCCCCTAACAACAACAAAAATACTATCACAAACTTCACTAAATAATACAAACAGTCCAAATATGTTACAGATGTGGTAGTACATAGTTAAGGATTGGCAGCATTTCCCATTTATGTTCGTAGTAATTGTAGCAGATTTCTAGCAATTCCTTCTCAGAAGTGGAAATTTTGCGAGTTTTATCCTGGCTCCACTTGAAATATTTTAAATACTGAAAAAGCACATAAAAAGTGCATGTTATGGTACTAGAAATAAATGAACACAAACAAATTTAACAATTCAAACATGTTAGATTATCATCATCATCATTAATCTTCACTTTTGCCATTAAGCCTTGTGGGGAGGAACAGTTTGTGATTGATAGGTAGCAATGACTAATGTCATTCCATGTGATGTAGAAGCTCTTTAATGTCATCAGTTCAACTCCTCTTAGAGCAGGCCTCTTGCTTTCCCTTTACATCTTTCCATAAGCCATGTCTGCATGGTAGTTGTTCTGGGTGCTTTCTTACTAGATGACAAAACCATTTTATCTTCTGTTTCTCAATTAATTATCTTCATGGTGTACATGCACATTTATTTTTATTTTTCTGGCATGTTAGCTAGCTTAGTCACATCATGGAACTTGAATATAATATGACACATCATGGAACTTGAACACAACATGAGACATCATGACACTTGAACATGGCACACATTATGGAACTTGAACATGACACACATTATGGAGCTTGATCATGATATGAGACCTTGGGTACTCAGCCCACTGATGTTTTTGGTCATCAGACAATGAATGTGGTACAAACCAGCAAGCAACTTTTTTCTTGCCAAAATCTTGCACTAAAATGTTATGAATGATCTCTCTATAAACACCAGATTCATCTGCAATTATTGTCACAGTAAAACAATGATCTTCTCATAAAGAGGGTGCTCTTTATCTGCAGCTACTCTGAGGTACACCTGACGGTACTACAACAGAAAACTCAGTCACCACTCTAAGGAAAACTTTAAAGTTAGGAACATGGAATGTTAGGAGCATGTATCATTGGCAGAGAACTAGAAAGGAATAAAATAGATATACTGGGAATTTCTGAACATAGATGGGCGGCTCAGGGCCATTTTGTGACTCAAACAGGAGAAACATTTGTTTATTCAGGAAAGGAAAAGAGTGGTTTAAGCGGGGTGGGTTTTCTGATGACAAGAAAAGTTTCTTCATCACTTCTTGGATATAATCCGATCAGCGACCGAATTCTGTCAGACTCATGTCAAGGAAAAGGAACATGACAATTATTCAAGTCTATGCTCCAACATCTGCATCAGAGGAAGATGAAATTCAAAACTTTTATGACAATTTAGAAGAGACATTAGAAAGGGTAGAAAAAAGATATTATAATCATCATGGGGGATTTTAATGCAAAAATTGGCGGAAGTAGCATAGGGGAAGAGGAAAAAGAGGCCCATTTGGCATAGGAAACAGAAATGAGAGTGGGGGAGAGAATGATCGAATTCTGTATAGAAAAGAATATGTGTATTACCAACACACTATTTAAACAACACCCAAGAAGGCTTTACATCTGGACTTCACCAGATGGAAATAGCAGGAACCAAATTGTTTACAATACAACAAAAATGGAGGACAAATATAACATCTGCAAAGACACTCCCTGGAGCTGACTGTGACACTGATCACAAACTTCTTGTTGCAGAGTTTAAAATAAAACTGAAAAAAGTGTTGAAAGGGGCTAAGCCAATATTTTTTGATTTGAGTAATTTGCCAAATGATTACAGCATTGAGGTTGAAAACAAATTTAAGCGGCGGTAATGGCAGTGCAGGAGGATATGACACCTGAAGAGTTGGCTGATGAAACAAGAAACATCATCACAACAGCTCAGAACATGATTCCTAAAAAACAGAAACAGATTTACATTACAGAAAAAAACTTTCAAACTGACAGAAGAAAGAAGACATTTAAAGCAAGTAGGGACAGAAAAAAAATCGCCATGCGTATAGGAAACACACGAAAGAAATCAGAAGAGCTATCAGAGAAGATAAAAAACAGTTTATTATAAATACCTGTAATAGAATTGAACAACTCCAGATGTAAGGAAGAGACAGAGACATGTTAAAAGAAATTAAAACATTGAAACGCGAATTCAGGCCTTCATTTTATGTAATAAGTGATTAAAAACGGTAACACATTAACAGAAAACCAAAGACATATTAGAAATATGGAAAGAATACTGTAGAGAAATGTATGAGGATGTGACAGGTAATTAAAAAACGACTTGTAACAGTTATGAAAAAGAACCAGAGCCTTTACTGGATGAGGTAGGATCAGCAAAATACAGCCTAAAGAAAGGAAAGTCACCAGGTTGCGAGGAAATACCAGCAGAACCAATTCAAGCAGGAGGAGAGGCCAGCATCTGAATCTACCATGCACTGTGCTCAAAGATCTGGAACAGTGGCATTTGGCCTAAAGCGTGGAAAAGAACAGTCTATATTCCTCTCCTAAAGAAAGGAAATCTGAAACTATGCTCCAACTGCCGTACCACTGCATTAATAAGTCATGCTAGCAAAATCCTCTTACGAATTATAATGAAAAGGATTGAAAGGAAATAACAATATGAACCAGATGAAGCACAAGCAGGTTTCAGACAGGGAAGAGGAACTAGGGATCCATCTTTAATATGAGAATAACCTTTGAAAAATGCAGAGAATACAATGTAGATCTTCATGCTTGTTTTATTGATTATAGCAAGGCATTTGATTGTGTCCAGCACCACAAACTGTGGACTATTATGAAAAGTATGTGGTTTCAAGCGCATTTAGTGCATTTAATTGAAAATCTTTATCATGAACAACAAGCAGCCATCAGAGCAACTGGTGAAACATCTGATTGGTTCGAGGTGCAAAAGGAGGTGAGGCAGGGGTGCATTCTCTCACCATACCTATTCAATATATATGCAGAAAATATAATGAGAAATGTCAAAAATGACCAGACTTGTGACAGTTATGATCGGCTCAAAATTGGTGGCAACCCTATTCCGGAACTCCGCTACGCAGATAACACAGTCCTCCTTTCGAACAGCGTAAAGGGAATAGAAAATTTAATATTGTCTGTCCAAAAGCACAGTGAAGATCAAAATCTGTTCTTGAATTTAAAGAAAACGAAAATAATGTCCACAGATAAAATAAAACTGGATGTCACTCAAAAATAGCAATAAATGATGAGGCAATTAAAAATGTCACAAACTTTGAATATCTAGGCTCTATAATAACCAGCAATGGAGACTGTTCGACAGAAATTAAAAGGAGGATGGCCATAGCAATGCAAAGATTGAACAGCCTTAAAAGTCTATGGTTAAGCACCAGCAAGGAGACAAAAATTAGGGCTCTCCTGTCAAATCCGGACGAAGAATAAAAAGCCTTGGACGACTTAGTCAGAGTTCTCTCCCGTGGCCGCACTGCTAACAGTGATCGGAAAACAAACGAAACAAACGACACACTTAGCTATCATCCTGCGGTTGCGTGTAGGGCTGCGTACGGTTGAGTGAGGCATCGTGGCATCATCATATGGTTGCGTGCAGGGTTGCGTACGGTTGCGTGAGGCAGTGTGAATGGTTGTGTAGTCATCATCATTAGAGTTAGGGGTAGGGTTAGGGGTAGGGTTAGGGTTAGGGGTAGGGTTAGGGTTAGGGGTAGGGGTAGGGTTAGGGTTAGGGGTAGGGGTAGGGTTAGGGTTAGGGTTAGGGGTAGGGTTAGGGGTAGGGTTAGGGGTAGGGTTAGGGGTAGGGTTAGGGTTAGGGGTAGGGTTAGGGTTAGGGGTAGGGTTAGGGGTAGGGTTAGGGTTAGATGTGAAAATTTTGACGTTGGATTTCGAAATACTGGCCGACAATCTGATGTTTGTGGGAGTGGCGCCACTGAAACTCTGCCAAATATGACGCCAATAGCGTGCGGCTGGTGCCCCCAATCGTTGGCGAATTGTGCGTTTGATTAGCATCCAGAGGCCCTCGATTGTTTGTGTGTGTATGGGACTGTGCGCGATTATAGGGAACTCCGGCATCAAAATTGTCAAATATAACGCTAAACTTAACCCTACCGCTAACCCTAATCCTAATCCCTAGCCCTAACCCCTACCCCTAACCACGCAAATTTATCGATCATTAAAGCATACAAATCGGCAAAAACCAACAAACAAAACACACCCAAAAAAAACCAGATTTGTCCTGCAGCGTCGAAAAAAAAACCAGATCTGGGGGAAACAACCAAGCATTGGCAGCCCTGATGTCGATGTGACTGTCTTCTTTGTTTCGTTGTGGCTTTTCCGATCACTGTTTGGAGTGCGGCCACGGGAGAGAACTCTGACTAAGTCGTCCAAGGCTTTTTAGTCTTCGTCCGGATTTGACAGGAGTACCAAAATTAGAATTTTGAGAGCCTGCATCTTCCCTGTGGCTACATACGGATGTGAGTCGAGGACTATCTCTAAGTCCTTAAGAAAGAGAAAGGGGGCTTTTGAGCTGAAATGCTATAGAAAGATTCTCAGAATATAATGAACAAAGAAGATGAGAAATATTGACATCTTAAAAGATCTGAACATCAAGGAAGATTGGCTAATAAACAGCCTTCTTTCTCTGAAGCTGAAATATTTTGGTCATATCAAGCGCCACAACGAATTGGAAAAAATTATAGCAGACGGCACGGCACCAGGAAGGAGGGGCAGGGGCCGACCGACACGGAGATTGGCACAGGATATAAGTGACTCCTTGAGTATGAAAGTACATGAGGTGGGACAACTGGCGAGACAAGTTTCTTTCAGGCAGACTGTGATGAGAGCTACGTTCTACAAAGGACCTGCTGCTACATGATGATGATTCTTAGGTACTGTGACGACACGCTCGGTGACTTCAGAATGTGTCTTTTCTCAACCTACTTTAAATTTCTATGTATTTTAAAGCATACAGAAAGATAGGGATTTGGATATATCCTAAATATAAGTAAGGGACCAGATCAAACCTATTTAATTCTCCTGGACTGCTGGTGATATCAAACACTGAGACTCTTTCCCAGATGTAAAGTGTTAAGGTATAGATAAGACTGACCAGCTCAGACTCAGTGGCTGGAAATTTTGCTTGCCAAACTGAGGTGTCAGATAATTATCTCCTAACTAGACCTTTAGGAGCAGATAACCCAGGTTAATTGTGATTATCTCCCCC